ACACCAGTGCAATAATCTCTTTGTCGAGTTGGCAGCATGCTACTCTCAAGTTAATTTTTGATTCAAGGTTCGCCATTCGGAAGTGTCTCTGGAATGCTCGTTAGTTAATATTTGCTGTATGATTTGGCCTAAAATTCTGAACACACATTCGAAGGTTGGCTGTATTTAAGCTTTCACTGCTGCAACGCGCGCGAACAGTGAATGCCATGATGGTGGAAGATAATGGCTAAAGTACCATCGTCGGTTGTTACTGTATGTCAACAAACCTCGGCAGCGGCACAGAATGCCGGTGTGAGCGCCACCACTACCGCCCCGCTAGCCGTAGTCAGGGTTTACCACCACTACCGCCCCGCTAGCCGTAGTCAGGGTTTACCACCACTACCGCCCCGCTAGCCGTAGTCAGGGTTTACCACCACTACCGCCCCGCTAGCCGTAGTCAGGGTTTACCACAACTACCGTCCCGCTAGCCGTAGTCAGGGGTTACCACCACTACCGCCCCGCCTAGCCGTATCAGGGTTTACCGCCACTACGCCCCGCTGAGGCCGGGTAAGTCAGGGATTGTACCACCACTACCGCCCCGCTTAGCCGTAGTCAGGGTTTACCGACCCGACTACCGCCCCGCTAGCCAGTGAGTCAGGCGTTACACCACTACCGCCCAGCGTAGCCGTAGTCAGGAAGTTTACCACCACTACCGCCCCGTAGCCGTAGTCAGGTTTACCACACTACCGCCCCGCTAGCCGTAGTCAGGCCGCTTTACCACACTACCGCACCCGCTAGCCGTAGCATAGGGGTTTACCACACATACTACCGCCCCCCCCGCTAGCCATAGTCAGGCGTTTACCACCACTACCGCCCCGCCTAGCCGTAGTCTCAGGGCTTACCACCACTACCGCACCCACTGAGCCGTGAAGTCAGGGTTTACCACCACTACCGCCCCGCTAGCCGTACGTCACGGTTACCACCACTTACGCCCCGCTAGCTCGTGTCAGGGTTTACCACCACTACCTCAACCTAGCCGTAGTCAGGGTTTTACCACAACTACCGCCCGCCTAAGCGTAGGTCAGGCCGTTTTACCACCACTACCGCCCTGCTAAGCCGTAGTCAGGCCGTATTAACCACCACTACCGCCCACGCTGAGCCAGTATCAGGGTTTACCCGCCACTACCGCCGCCCGCTAGCTAGTTCAGGCGTTTTTACCGCCCACTTACCGCCCCTGCTAGCTAGTCAGAGCGTGTATACCACCACTACCGCCCGCTAGGCGTAGTCAAGGCGGTATACCACCCACTACCGCCCGCTAGCCGATAGTCAGGCCGTTACCACCACTACCAGCCCCGCCTAGCGCGTAGAGTCAGGCGCTTTTGACCACCACTACGGCGCCCGCTAGCCGTATGTATCAGGGTTACCACAACTACCGCCCGCTAGCCGTAGTCAGGGTTTACCACCGACTAACCGCCCGCTCAGCCGTAGTCAGGGTATTACCACTCACTACCGCCCCGGCTAGCCGTAGCTCGAGGGCTTTACCACCCACTACCGTCCCGCTAGCCGTTCAGTCAGGGACTTACCACCCCACTACCGCCCCGCTAGCCGTAGTCAGGGTTTACTGAACCGACTAAAACGAAGTCAGGCTGGTCTGCTTGAACATCGCTTACAGAGATGCGAAGCTACGCGTGGCGGGCAAAGATTTGTTATTTTTATTTATTGTTATTTAGTCATTATATTATTATTTACTTAATATTATTATTGATTATCATCATCATCATCACATCCATCATCCAATCATCATCATCATGCATCATCATCATCATCATCATCATTATTATTATTATTATTATTATTATTATCATCATCATTATCACTATCACTCTTTTTCTTTCTTTATCTCTTCCTCTTATTTTTCTTCTGCGTTTTACTCCTCTTCCTCGTCGTCGTCTTCCTCTTCTTCCTTTTCTTCTTCTTCTTCTTCTTCTTTGTTTTCATCCTCTTCTTCCTCTCTTCTCTTTTCTCCCCTTCTTCCTCTTACAGCCCCTCCTTCTTCTTTACCACTACCACCACCACCACCGCCACCACCGCCGCCGCCTCCTCCTCCTCCTCCTCCTCCTCCTCCTCCTCCTCCTCCTCCTCCTCCCCTCCTCTTCCACCTATTTCTTGTTCGTCTTCTTTATTATATACAATTTCGACAGGTTTGCTATCAGAATCGGTACGCTGTTTGAACGAACGAATTTGCAATTTGCGTGCCAATAAAAATACCGACAAAATGCGTGCGGAGTGTCTGGCATAAAATTCGTCTAGTCGTCGTAAAATACCTCGTCATAACTCAGTTACACTGTCACTGAGGCTTGCTCGGGGGGCATATACAGGTGTGCCGGAGATTACTAGCACAGTTTAACCCCTCGCGATGATATTTTGCAGTCGTGATATAACGATAAACGATTAGCGGCATAATCGAGTATAGATCGTTATATGACAGCAACTGCGTTGTCTCCGTTCACGAAATGTTTTGCCTCACAGAATGTAGTCCAGTATAGGTAATAACTGTAGTACGCACCCGTCAGTTCGCCGTTTAAATGAAGCTACATGCCCCCGAGCAGTTGCCGCGTGGCCACACGATATAATGGTGTAAGGTCTATAGATATAACCTAAGGTCGTAGAAGTATCAGTATTCGTACGTTCTCTCTTTCGCTTTCTCCTCCTCCTCTCTCTCACTCTCTCTCTCCTCCCGTTTTCGGTCTCTTACTTGCTCTCTTTCACCCACCCCTCTCTGTCTCTCGTACGCGCTGTCTCTCTTTCTGTCTGTCTGACCGCCCGTCCCTCTTTCTGTTTTTTTTTTACTCTCTCTCTCTCTCTCTCTCTCTCTCTTGCACGCTTTATCTCTGTCTCTATCTATACATGTATCTCTCACCCGCTCCTCTTCCTTTCCCGGCACTATACGCTAATAAAGTTTAGCGTCCGCCGTGCATAACAATCACGGACAAGTATAGGCGTTGCCGATGTAAATACAAGCTGTCTCCCATACCTGGGGTCATTGTCACTGCCGGACTATTACGTTATGGTCTTTAGCAGCGGCGTGACATCACCCGAGGGCGCTCCGCCGCGCGCCCAAAGTAGAACCTAGATTCCGGAAAACGCGTTCTTGCACTTACGCCCACCATGATGAATGTAGTTGTTATTCCGCTGGCGAAGTACTGGTTAGCGAAAACGCTGGCGGCATTCGCATCACGGGCCACGAGTCTACTTCCGAGTATACGATGCCGTGAGGATACCATCGCGCTATCCATCCATGTATCTATCTAATCATTCTGTATAATTCACCTCGGGTTTTCTTCGATGCCGGTATCTATACTGACGAATTCCGTGAACTAGACGAATTTTGACACGTTCGCACACTGAAGCTCGGTTTGTTTACGTTTCCGACGCGTGATCATGAGAATCATTGTAATCACGAACGCTGCAACGTCCGTGCGAGCATATAAGCGAAGTACTTGTCATTTCTCGGATAGAAAATCTCTGTCTCTGTGCATGAGAACATGGATAGACTACATGACCCTGTAACGAAAACCTCAAGCCGTCTTAGAAATCGTTATTATTACCGGCCAAAGGAGCCGCTGTCTATGATTACAAAGATAGAAATTATATCGGTCATTATATATTTCATTGTTATATATTATTATGCCATTATATACACCAGAAACATGAATGTATCCGAAACAAATTACAAACTTATATAATATCGCGTAAAAGTATAAATACTTATCTAATATTATATATATATATATATTAGGAGTGCAATTAAATACATTATATATTATTGGCTGGCATTTCGTCGATTCAACCAATGAATGGTGATTTCTTGCTCGGGCTGTGTGATACGTCATCGGTGTGTGTATACTTGTGTCAGGTCTGATATTAGGTCGATGGTTGGTCACCGTTATTCGTCACCGTTTTGCTTGCAAACTATCCCTAAGCGCCGAGGGATCAAGAATGATCAAGCTCTAGGTTAAATTAGTACGAACCGAAACAATTTTAGTGAAAACAGCAAGCAGATTTAGTGTGGAACACACTGTTAGTGTTAATTGATTTCATTTAAAGCCGTACCAACTCGCGCCTTTGAGGGTAACATCGGTGACTCCGATGCGCCGACACTGAATAATGCAGACGGCCCGCATGAATTCTTCATACGTCAGGGTAACAGGTGCGCGCACGTATCTTTACAGTACTCATCATTACGAATGCGTGCGGACACGACTACGGCACCTGAACGGGGCATATAACATGCATTATAGATACACGGAAATTTGTAAATACAATCACGAATGCAGTTATGGTTGCGTGTATGTTTATGCGCGAGTATGCTGTAGTAGGTAGACGTTTAATTAGGAGGGCGACGGGGCGATAATGGCATGTGTGTGTGTGTGTTTAAATAGACCCCCATCCGATCTATTTTTGCCTATATGAATATAATTTCGCTACATACTCTATATCATAGCCTGTACTATGCTATGCTGTGTACCCAATACAATATCGTGCCGGCACGCAAATATACGCCCGTGTGTATATTTACGCAAATTACGAATAGCATAAGCTGTATATTGCATCGTATCGCAGCAATTTTTGTGGCGAGCCTGTGCACAGTATGGGCACATTTATACCGTCAGTATAGTGAGTCAGAACTGTTATTTCGAATACCGAACCGGATGTCACGCGATATATAGGTCAATCAATAGGGTTTGCTGTCTAATAATCACACCTCAGCCAAGGCCGCGTACGAAATCATGAATTTGAGAAGCAATTTAGAACATGCGGTGCAAATGATAGAGTCCAGCGCCATGCGATCCAAGATGTCACCCAAAATGGAATCTCTCGTATTTCAGATGCACATCGGTGCATTCCCATGTTAACATTTTTTATATTGAGAGAAAGAGAGAGAGAGAGAGAGAGAGAGAGAGAGAGAGAGAGAGAGAGAGAAGAGAGAGAGAGAGAGAGAGAGAGAGAGAGAGAGAGAGAGAGAGAGAGAGAGAAAGAGAGAGAATGAGAGAAGGCATGGATGGAAAAAGGAAAGGGAAATAGAGAGGGAGCTAGGGCCGAAGAGAGACAGAGGGGAATAGACAATGGGACAGATTGCGAACGATATAAGCATGGATATATAGAAAGAGTAAAGTATGATGGATAAACTATGTCTTGGACATTATACATTCAGCTAGCCCTATTTTACAGTTTAATAAATAACTATGTCACTGCCTCCAATGCTTTAATAGTAGGTTGAAGGTGCCTACTTTCATGGTTCCTTGCCCTAGCATCATTTAAATTTCACTATTCTTTCACTCCTACCTCTCTCTTCTTTTAATTCTCTCACGTCACTCCTCGTCTCTCCGACCAAATCCATCTCTCTCATTCTGCCTTCACCTCTCTCGGTATCTCCCTCACCCATCTTTTCCCTTCCTCCCTCCCCATGTGTCGGTTCCACCCTCCCTTTACCTCTTTTTGCCTCCCTCTTTTATATTTCCTCCCTCCCTTCCTCCAACCACCACTAACTTCTCCTTCCTTCCCTCAGCCTTTTTCCCACATTCTCTCCCATTTTCTCAATCTCTGACCCTCTCCCTCCTCTCCTCTCCACCTCTCTCTCTATCGCGCGCGCTCTCTCTCTCTCTCGCTCTCTCTTTATCTCTCTCTCTCTCTCACACTATTTCTCTATATATAAAAAAATTATAAATGTATATATATATATATATAGTACATAATATATATCAGTATGCATACATATATATATAATTTGTAAATGAGTGGTATGTATATCAAGAGCACATGCTCTTGATGTATATGTATATATATGCATGTGTGTATGATATGAGGGTGAGTATAATACGTACGAGCGGCAGCGGCGTCTCCTGCACCTCACCGACGCGATTGTACGTCGGCACCTTCCCCATCTGTGCCTGCTGCTGCATCGGATGCTGTATGTGCAGAGCCTGCGAGTCGAAATGTCCCGGCAGGTAGTTCTCCGAGTTCTCGGTGGCCTTCTGCAGCATGTACCACGCCTTGGGCGCCATCATCGCCTGCCGTATGCCGACGGCGTCCGCGTTGAAATGTCCTCTCTCGCCCATCGGCGAGCGTATCTGCTCGTTGATCTTGTCATCGCGTTTCGGTACGTTCAGCGCGGCGCGTATGCCGAACGACGAGCCGTCCATGTGTCCGGCGAGCGTACGCGGGACGTGGTTGTTGCAGTAGACGCCGCTGTCCTCCGGGTCCAGCTGATTGTGGATGTACGTCTTCAACGTCAGCTGCGTGTTGCAGGAGACGCATTTGAGACACGACTTGTGGAAGAAGGCGCTCTTGAGCGGGCCGACGCGATCGACGCGGTACACCTTATTGCCGCATCGCGTGCACAGTTCGAACTCCGGGTTCGACACCATCGGGTTGAAGTAGCTGCTCGTGGCGGCCATGTTTGTCTGGCAGCGGCCGTATATATCCTCCTCTGGTCACGATCTTCGATCTAGCGAACTACGTAACGACACGGAGATTCGAATGTCGGGCCGCCACCGTGTGCGGATAGCGGGAGGGGGAGGGGTGAAGTCACCGCCGCGATTCTAGCATCACTGTGAGGACGTTCGACACATGACACGCAGACGACCAACGCACTGTGCCGCGCTGGATAAATATGGCGCAGCCGTGTGCTCCGGTGTGAACTCTACCTGCCGTGTGCTGCCACTGCTGTTGCCTATTGCGCAGGTGAGACGCGCTCGTCCGTTGTGCCCGTGGCGGCTACCGCGTCACGCGCTCCTACATACATACACGTACACGCGAGCGCGGATGAACGGAAGGTAGGCCAAGTACGAAACGCATTCGACTGAATCGATGCATTGTTGTGATGGCGCTGCGGTGGCGCTGCGAACGCCCCGTTAATAAGCGTGTGCGCAGGTAACGTCAGGTAAGGCAGGATGGGGTAGGGGGGGGGGGAGTAGGTAGTGACTGTACGCGTCTGATCGTATGCACGCGGGTGGAACTGCCGTTGCAGCAAGCACGGACGTGAGGGGAGACTTCATTGTGCCGGTTAAGAGGAAAAATAATTAAATAAGTGTAACGTCGCGAAGACTTTGCGCGACCCTCACTCCCACCACCGACTCGACGTCGAGAGAATAAATTACATGATTAGTCGTCGATCTCTCTGTTCTTCGCTAAATGAGTAAACGTGAAATGCGTAGCAGTGTTAGGCGCTACCGCGAGGGTGGCAGAAAATCCGGTTTCTCGTTTCACCTTTTTAGTTTTCATGGGTCAGCGCCTGTCCCCTTGCTGCGGGCTGCGTATGTCGTTAGCCAGCGTTCTAGCTCGCAAGCCCCGCTGCTTGTAGTTTTCCTGGAGTTATAACCGACTTGGTTTTATTTTGTGTTTATTATAGTTCGCATCTCCGCCCCCCTCCCGACGGGCGCCACCCCCTAACCTATTCTGTTGACAGGCTATTGTTGTCGCATTTTTCTTTGGGACTCTGAGAATATAAATATCTAGAATCTGATAGAGATCTAGAGAGCGAGGATATTCCAAGACATAGAGATGACCAGAGTCACATCTAGAGAGTATAGGTTTATAAGGACATGGCGATGAGATATCTGAAGACGTGTCTACCGACTGGATAAACATCTCTAAACTCATGTTAAAAAGTAAAAAAAGAAACCTATATGTTTCCACGCATGACCTGGTTGTTATAGCCCTTCGATCAAAATATGAAAGAATAAAAGAGGACTACGGTAAGCTATATCATGAACCTGGAAGATTACCAGCAATAGCTCTACACACGATTGTCACATCGATGTAGTAATAGTAATAATATTTGTAATAGTAATTTGCTTGCATACGCTAGTAGAGTGCATACATGCAGACAGAATACTGGAAACCACGAGGCAGATTAACGCAGAAACGAGAAAGTAGGCGTAATAATCAGTCAATCACACAAGTTGCAAGCAATGTTTGACGCAACGCGTAAAGCATGGTCAGGTCAATCTTTAAAGCGACGCGATTTGTTGGCAAAGGTTGTGAGAAATCCCGCACCTCCCCCTCCCCCCACTTTCCTTACCTTCCCACACCTACCCAAGCTCCCCCCACATCCCCCATCTCCCCACACTTCCCCCACACCCCACTTCCCCCTACACACCCCAGTTCTCCACAGCTCTCCCCACATCCCGACTTCCCCACACCTCTCCCAACCGCCCTCTCTACCCCATCTCCCCACCTCCCCCACCTCCCCCACAAACCCCACCTCCTCACACTTCTCCCACCGTCTTCCCCACCCCATATCCCCCACATCACCACCTTCGCCCACACTCAGTGGGGAGTGTGGTTGTGTGGGGGAGATGGGAGAGTAGGGTGGGGAGAGACGGTGGTGGAGGTGGGGGAGAAGTGGGAAGTTGGGTGTGTGTAGGGAGAATGGGGAGATAGTGGTGGGAAGAGGACGGGAGGGGGAAGGTGTGGGGAGGTGTGGGGATGTGTGTAATTGTGGGCGAAAGTGTGGGGAGAGGTGGATGGTGGGAGGGAGGTGGGGGAAGGCGATGTGGGGCCGAAGGTAGGTGAATGGGGGGGATATTTTGTTGGAAACGGTGAGGAGAGGATGTGAAGTGGAGAAGGTGAGAAGTTTGTGGGGGAGGTGGGGAGTGGTGAGGCTGGAATGGGGTAGGCGAAGAACGTCGTGGAATGATGTGTGGAGGTGGGGTATAGGGGGAGTGGAGGTGTGTTTGGGGGAGCGACGGTGGGGGGGAGGTGAGTGTAGTGGAGGAGTGGAGTAATGATGGGGAGGTGTGGGACGGTGAGGGGTAGGGGGAAGGTGGTATGTGCGAGGGTTGTGGGGAATGGGGGTAGAGGCGGTGGGGAAAGGTGTGGGGAGGTAGGAATAGTGGGGAGAGTGGGGAGAAACTGGGGTGTGTAGGGAGGTGGGTTTGGGAAATGTGGGAGTAAATGGGAAGTGGGGGAGCTTGGGGAGGGGTGAGGGTGAAGAAAGTGGGGGAGGGGAGGTGCGGAATTTCATCCTCACACTTTGCCCCCAAAACAAATCGCGTCGCATTTAAAGAATTGACACTGACGCATGGCTGTCTACGCGTTTGGCGTCAAACATTAGCTTGCAACATTGTGTGAAGAATGAATTTCATTTACGCCTACCTTTCTCAAGATTTCTCTGCGTTAATACGAGCCTCGGGTTTCACAGTATATCTGTCTGCGATGTATATGCTACTTCTACTAAGCGTATGCAAGCAAATATACGATTAACAAAATATTAATTACTATTACTACATCGAATGTGACAATGCGCGTGTAGAGCTATGACTGGTTATCTTCCCAGGTTCATTGATATAGCTTACCGTAAGTCCTACTTGTTAATTACATATTATATATTTGACCGAAAGCTTAATAAAACAAACCAGCGTCAATGCGTGGACATATATGTTTTCTTTCTTATTACTATTTATAACCGAATGAAAGTATTAGCAGAAGATGTTTAATCCCAGTCCTGGTAGACACGTCTATTCAGATACTGCTCATCGTCCATGGTCCATTATAAACCTAGTACCTCTGAATGTGACCTGATCATCTCCTATGTCTATGAAATAAGATCCTCGCTCTCCTAAGATCTCTATCAGATTCTAGATATTTTAATATTCTCAGAGTCCAAAGGAAAATCTTCGACAGATGGACAAGTAGCCTGTTCAACAAAGAATAGGTTAGGGGGTGCGCCCGTCGGGAGGGGGCGGAGATGTCGACTATATAAACACACAAATAAACTCAGTCGTTATAACCTCCAGAAAACTACACAGGCAGCGGGGGGCTTTATGCGAGCATAGAACGCTGGGCGTAACGACAGTACTAAGGCCGGCAGGCCAAGGGACAGGCGCTGACCATGACTAAAAAGGTGAAAACCGAGAAGGACTAGAAACCGGATTTTTCATGGCAAACCAGCTCGGCGGTAGAGCGCCTACACTGCTACGGCATTTTCACCGTTTACTACATTTAGCTAGGCGAAGAAAAGAACAGATCCGAACACTAAATCAAAATGCGTCATTTATGTCTCCTCGACGTCGAGTCGTGGTGGGAGTGCGGGGTCAGCGCATAGTCTTCGCAAGCACGTTACACCCTATT